GGATAGTGTATGCACTCAAATTGCAATTGTCAACAGAACGACCGGCGGAAAGTGAGCTCTTCCACTCGCTGCTTGTGAAACGCGAACTACTCCGTTCAATTGGTTTACTTCGTTTTGTTTTTCACTTTTTCGAATATTTTATTTACTTTTTATTAGTTTACGATTTTTAAAAAGGTTTCTCTTATTGAAGAAAGGTCTTATAGTGTTAATAAAGTGGTTAAGGAAGCTTTATCCCGTTCCTTTTTTTATTTCGCTTTTCTCGAGATGAAAGGTCTGCTACCAAAAAAAAAAAATATTTTTTTGAAATTCATGGCTTTTCAGTACTCCTGATCAGAAAATAAATTTCAATAACTTTTTAGCTCTTAGGCACCAAGTGGCACTTGACTGGTATCGCTTACACTTAGATATGATTCGTTTACCACAAATTTTTATCGATCTCTACGACTTGGACAATGCGGGATTGATATCCACTTCGGACCTCGATGATTCATCTGTATCACTAGAAGCTGATCGAACGATAAAGGAAGAAGCTGTTAAAAAACGAGATGTTGATACCTCATCAGAAGATGATTCTGATTAAGTGCAATTTGGCATTCTTATTGAACTTGAATTTGAAATCAGAAATTTATAGATTGCTTTCAAAATGGCCATTAATAATATCCACATACACTGGTCATTAACGGATGGGGACTCAGCTACTTATTTTGATTTTTCTTTGGAGAATAACGTTTATTCATATATATACATCCATTATCATCTTTGTTGTTTGCATCATTTTTTTAAAGTTTCCACTGGTAATGCTTGATGCTCATAAAAAATTTTTTGTCAAAAAAGGGTATGCAGTGCATGATACTTTTATAAAAATACAAGCCAAGCAATAATTATTCCTTGTTACAGTACACATGAAATTTGGATTTGTAACTGCAATTAAAGAATATTGGTAGTTGTTATGCCTTTTTTTGCTGTATCTTTTTTTTCTTCCAATAAATCGATTATCTATTTTCAATATATCAGTCGTAAGTTATTATCAATGAAAGGGGACTAAAACGATGTTGTAACTTATTCAACTACATCAATCACTACTAGGCAGCATGATATCGACTTTTAAAGATACTGCTTGGTAAGGAATAAATTCTACATTTCTATTTGTCTGTGTTGGGTGTGTAAGATCGGAAGGTGTCCACGTAGATATCGCATTATATTTCTCAGTTATATTTTTATAAGCATATGCGCTTATAGGCTGCAAATTGAGCTACAAATTAGCTCAGTCCGTATTAAAAGAGTGATAGTGTGTACTCCGAGTAACAAAAAAGTTTATTTTCATCAAGCAGTTAGCTGCCTGCTCCATTTGCTGAAGCAATTAGCAGTAGGGAATCGAATTATTTAAAAATTTCTACGTCAAATGGGTTCTCGTCCATCGTTGCTACAACACTCCGCTTCACCATTTCAATCGTCAAGCAACACTGCCAAGATCAATATTTTAATTTTAGGTAGAGCTTCCTATATTTTGAAGAAATTCTTAAAAAGTAAAGTTTCAACTCCAGCTCAGAGTTTTTTTTTATCTGTGTATTAACAACTATTAACCAAATCTAAAAAATGGCTTTCTTGCCAAATGTTTCACAACTGTCACTATAAATCTATTATATCGCTATAAAATCTGCTGTATAAGCTTATTATCAATAAACATTTATGAATTTGTTCAAATAAATTGTTGTGCCTTTCTTCTGCTTAATATTAATCGATATTGAACATTTTTAAATATCATTTAAGATAAAAGATATAAAGAGGACATGAATTGACATAGATGTGCTCACCTATTGGATGGGAGAAAAAAGGAATTCAAGAAATTCAAAAAATATTAAGAAGATAACGATAAGTTAAAATGAAATATTTTGCTAATAAGCTTCCATGACTTTTATGTAAAGAAGGCATAAACTATTTAAAGGCTCAAAGGTTACTTCCCGGACAATTTTAGAAAAAGATCGTGAAGAGGAATTTCTAACTTACGAAAACCTTTGATTACTAGAGATTCAGAATTTTTTACGGTTAAGAATCGCCAGTTGTTTGTTGAAATATTGTTAAACAAATTAAATCATAGTTTTAATAAACCTTGACTTCTCGAAAATGATGAAACAATCCAAAATGATATGAGATGTTATCGTTTTTGTTGCATTATTTTCATTCTAGTCACTACAGAATCTTACACATTGGACATGTTTGGCAATTCATTCATGATCGTTCTAAGTGATATTGTTGTTGTTGTGGTGGTGGTGGTAGTATTTATGGTGATATTTTTTATATGGGAACTGGTTTACATTAATTTTATATTTTTTGTTGAAATTTGCTTTATTATTATTATTATTATTAATTTTTTTCATATTAAGTTATATGATTTCAAAAAACTCAATCTTTTGATATATCCATTGATTATTGACAATTTCTGAAGTGAATATGAGAATTTATATTTTGTTTATTTATAAATCGTTTATTTTATTGTCTGATTTTTTCCTTTATTCTTTTCTTTTTTCATTTAATGGAAGTGTAAAAGTAAAAACTGATAGGATCGATTAGTATGATAGAAATATACAGCTTTGAAAAAGAAGCAAGAATAGTAGTAATCAAGGTTTATTTTTTTTTAAATAACATTAAAAAATATATATGAAATAATTAAGTTGAATTTTTTTTAATAGAAAAATATAGTGAAGATAATAACAAAAATTAGAAAAATACGATGTAATTTCAAAAATAAAATAAAATATATAAGGTAGCATAAGCAAAATAACAAATCAATATCTTATTTCGATGGATCGCTTTTGTATTGCAGGAAGATTTATTTCATGATGAAATAAATTCCTCTGCTCGGAACACCTGTGAATTCATTCCTAAAGAATGAATTTCTCATATTCGTTGCAAATTTTTGATCTAAAAAAAAATTGAAAAATTATTTGTTATTTAATTGTTTTAAATAATTTTCTTTAATGAGCATTTTTGCAGGTACAGCAGCAGTGGGAAAAACAACGCTTTTTCGACAATTAAGGTTGGATAACATTCAAGTTTTGTTCATAATTCATAGTGAAAAATAGCTAATCTACAATTAGCTAAACAATTTTAGGCTCTATTTTTAACTTAAAAAGGCATTAGCGTAAAACAATTAAGTTTTACTCTAATTTAAAGAATACTGTGAAAAATAGTATTTAGTATTTTAAATAGAAGCTAATTTCAAAAAAAAGAAGTGTTAAATAACATTCATATTTTCTTCATATATTATTTATCAAAAATAAATCATTTCTAAGAATAATAAGTAAAAATTGGAACAGTATCGCATCATTAACCTGAAGAATTCCAAACAGAAACAGTAAAACATTTGCTTTAAATTTGATTATTTCTAATCTTATTCTATCATTTCCTATTCCATCTCAATTTTTATTTCTTTCCGTTCGAATTCGTTTTACAAAACAATTTGATCCAAAAGGGTTTAAAATTTATTTAATTGAAATTATTTATTTATTAAAATATTCTCTAATGATATCAGATAGATAAATATGTAATTGATTTGTTTTAAGGTAGCAATAATAGTTGCACCAAACAATGATCTTTTTAATAAACATCGTATTTTCAGTGTATCCGAAAATTGCTACTTTTTCAGACTGAGCGGAAATTGTAAACCGTTGGAAGGACGTTTCTATCATAACATTTTATTACAAAATCTAATTCAGATATACAATGATATCCTTCAAACTTGCGAAAAATTGAATTTGGATATATCTAAACAAAGGGTTCTTTTTCCTGCAAATCTTTTAATATCAAACTAAAGAGGAATTGATTGAAACTGTGTGTGAAACAGTTTATACCTGCTTTTATATTTATACCCGCTTTTATACCTATTTTTATACCTATTTTTATACCTGTTTTTATGCCTAAATTTTTATACCTATTTGTATTTTCTCCTGAACTTCTGAGAATTTTAATTTTGCGATAAACTTTAATTGCTTACCCAATTTTGGTCTTATTTCGACAAAATTATAACCGTTTTCAGGAAAATTTTGATATTATCTTGGCAAACAAGGAATTGGATCAGTTGAGCAGCAGCTGCTTACGTGCAATTAAAGATATTCCGAAAGATAGTACAATACAGAAATTAATTCGGACTTCTCATAAATTATCGTTTATTCAAAACATTCAATAGTGGGTGACTTTAAAAATAATTGATATCTTATAAATGTTATAATTTTTATTGGACGAATTATAGAAACAAACTTGAAAAGCAATATTTCGTAGATTTCATCATCGTATATAAAAGATTATCGAATTCTCAGCTTCCTGATATTGTAAATTCTAATTGTAAATTAGAATGTAAATGATAATTTATTATGTAAATGATAATTATAAATGATAATTTATAATTATTTTGAAATTACCATCATTCATCTTAAATAAATTAAATAAATAAATAATAATAATAAATTCTAAAATAAATAATAAATTCTAAATAATAAATAAATTAAATAAATAATAATAATAAATTCTTAAATATTAAATTCTTAAATTAAAAATAAAATTCTTAAATAAATAATAAATGATAATTCTAAAAATGTAAATGATAATTGTAAATTATGTGACTGATTTTGAAATTACCATCATTCATCTTAAAATAGTTTCTTTCTTACTTTCTGAAATTATGGAGATAGTTTAAAGTTTTGAAGTTTCTTCGATAATATTGAAAGGATTACGGCCGGTGACTATATTCCGACTGAGACAGATATCTTAAATTCGTATGCACCAACAATTGGAATCGACCAAATACATTATCGTACTTCATTTGCATCAATCAGGTAGATACAGTTAATTTCAATTACACATTCAAAATAATCTGGATATCTCCCTTGCCATTATCAAACTTATCTATTACTATTCTAAATAGATCTGATGCGATGTTTTTTTTTCTGAACAAATTCCTTACCATTTTAATAACAACTACTAAATGTAACACTTATTTTGGGATGGGCACAAAAAGAGAAAAGTTTCTGACGTACTGAAATATACAATTCTGTTTCTTCAAATTTTAACTGAGATTCCAGCGCTTCAAATTGTAATGTTCTCTCTCAGAAGGTAATTGTATTGGTGGGACAGCAATGAAATTGTAAGGTTATTGCTGATCGCCATACTTGATACAGCAATATAGAATTTTGCTGAAATACATCGTAAATTTTGTAGTATTGTGGACATCGGTGGTAACGAATATTCTCAACGAAAGTGGAACAAATTCTACAGTATCATAAACGCTCTTATTTACATTGTTGATTTAACTGCGTTTTGCAAGCCTCGGAAAGACTACCTAACAGTAATATTTTAGTTCAGTTTTTTTCTTGCAGGTGAGAAAGTCATTCATTCATTGTATGCAATTTAGCTTGCTACCGGAAATTTATTTCTCGATCATAGATAGTGCAAATTAATGTTTTCAAGGAAACCAGAATTTCAGACTTTAGAGGATGAATGCGTTATTGTATTCACGAAACTTTGCAATAATTTTACGCTGAAGAAGTCTCATTTTATTGTGTTATTCAATAAGGTATGCAAAATTATTTAAATATTTCTTTTTTAGTTAACTCTCAAATAAAATGATCTTAGTAGCAATTTCAAAAATATTATCATTATTTTTGATAAAACAAATAATTACTTCCCGAACACAATATTTGCATTGTTACTTTTGATGTTCCAAGAATTAGTTTGATTCTTTATCAAGTCTTAAAAAAAAATTCAGAAAGACGTGTTCGATGCTCAAAAACAACCAATGAATAATGGACTTCCAGGAGGTGGTGCTAATACAACAGTTTTTATGGATCACACGTCACTGAGTCTAATCAAAGCCAAATTCTTAAATCATCTAACCAGAAAAATTTATCAGCATACCGTATCACTAATTTATCGAGATACTTTCGAAGAATCAGTTATGGACAGTATCAGCAAAATTGCTGCAAAAAATCTATCTGTAGCACCAGTATAATGCAATCGTCGTTATACTTTTCCTTTTCTTAATTGAAACATGAAAGTTATCTTCTAAGAAAAAATTATTTTCCAATATTTGACGTCTGTATTGTAATGTTAATGTAAGTAACTTTTCCAAGATGGAATTTAGTAATTAGCTAAGAAAAATTCTCCTAACATCAACGTGTGTTAAATGAAAGGATAACAGAGGATAACTTCTTGGGTCAACTTCATAACAGAATATTTTAATTGATCACTAGTAATATTCAAAGATCGTAATAATTTTAATGATAGCTTTTCATTTATTATTGCATAACAAAGTATAACTAATCTGGTGTAAATCATCTTTTTAATGCATTATTTACAAGTTATCCTTTTTCTCTTCCTTTACAAATATATTCTACAACTCGTTCTCCATTACGAATCTTCAAATATCATCGAATTTTAGAACTTATATGCCGCCCATCGATAAAATTATATAGTGATCAAAGCATGATATACATATTTTAATACATACGGGCATTTATCATCAAGTTTTTTGATAATCATTATCTAAACTAGTTGAGTTCACTGTTCACAATTGGGAAGTTTGCGGTATCTTGCGATTTTTCCTTTTTTTTCATATTTTATTTATGCAGATTTCCGCAAAATACACATACGAGTGTCTCCACCAGATTACTTTGACATTTGACCCTCAGAGGATTTCAAACTTTTTCAACTATACCAATAAACTATTCTAGCTAAGGCTATGATCTATGGCTCGAAAAAAAATCAAACTGAAGGCGTGAAAAAGTAAAGGGACCAAAAATTAGTGACAGGATGCCATTCTTATGATTTTAATTTCCACTGATCTCTAACTAATCTCATATTCTCAGCCAAATTGTAGGGATAAGTAGCAAAGATAAGATAAGCAAAGATTAGTATTCATCTTAAACTAGGCAACCAAAAGTAGCATGGAAAGAATGAACACGACAGCGAGCTATATTGTTCTTTGAGTTGTCGTCAACTACATTATTTTAAAGAATTTAATGATTGATCTTTTTACAAACTTTACCTTTATCTAACTATTTTCCAATGTCTTCAGTTTTATAATTTTTTTCTCTTGGAAAGTTAATTCAGATATTAATGTAATTAACATTAACAGAAATAGTGCCATAATTAATCTGGTTGAATATATATTTGAAACGGGAAATAATGAACATATGATGTTCCGTATAGTGGAAGATTGTAAAATATTGCAATACTTGCAAATCTCAACTTAAAAATTCTTAAAAGTAAACCATGTAACAGTAGAGATTTGAAATATTTTGTGTGCTTTAATAAAAACGTTTTATTAAAAATATTTTGACGGAGTAACTCATAAAAAGCTACAATGGAAAGAAATGTGTCAGCAATTTAATGTGCAAATATAAAAATAAATAAAAATTTTCACGCCCTGTTCGACTGCAAAATTACTGGAATTCTGATTAAGGTCACTTTTTTTAACTTAGCATTAAAACTATTTTTGCAGCTCGTGGTTAATGCTTGAATGTCTGTGCATGATAAATATTTATCGCAATATCAGCATTTAGACAGTCTTTATCAAACTGTTATCTCATTTATCTCGGCATAAAACAGCGGTCAATAGTGTGTAAATACCTAGTGAATGGAATTCAATTAAGCATTATTTATTTTTCCATAACCGTAAAACTGACAGATAGGCTTTACAACAGATGTTTTGAACAAAGAAAAACTTGTTTCTCATGCTCGTGAATCCTATCTATTAGGCATCCCTACACAAAGATTTTCCATTATAAAGCTACCTAACAACTATGGCATCAATATCTCCTAATTAAGATAAGAAGTGACAAAGTGACTAGAACAAAAAAAACTATGGATGTCACAAGCCATTTGTTACCAGGGTACTTCCGGCTGTTGAACAATCGCCATGCTCAATATTCTGAAATGACGAAGACGATGGTGCTGTAGCCGATGTACAATTCAATGATTTCTTTATTCCATATTCGTCATGAGTTTGCTCGTAATACATAATTTCTTTGAATATCAGTTCTAAATAAAAATATTTCAGCGTTTGTTTCACATAAAATACTATAGGCAGTTGTATGGAAGATACACACAAATAAATGGTAAGAAGAGTATAAAGATGTCCTTTTAATCGAATCAGAATTCCGTATAATTTCACAGATGTGCATATAAAGTTGAAAATGTTAGGCACTCTCTTCCATTTTAATCAATTTTCATATAAATGACTTAAGCCTCAAAATTGAACGAATATGAAAACGGTATACATATATATATATATATATATAAATGAATTTTAGAAGAGATTTCAAATTTCAATTGTTTTTTTAATTCAAAAAAATATCCATTTCATATTAGGCAAAGGATAGTTTATTATTAATGGAAAAATTGAATGAATTCATATTACTTATTTTATTCTCTAATACATTCTTGTTGTTATAAATATAAATATTTGGAAAATAGAATCAATCAGTAGTCATTCAGTCAATCAATCGATCAGTCAGTCATTCAGTTCGATCAATCAGTCATAATTAGAGATATTTTTGTAATTTTATACTCAGCCACTCAATCAAATTCATTTAATTTTCGATTAAATGATCAAGCATTTCTATCAATCTTAAAAAATTAGCACAATTAATGATTTATTATGTGTTATTAATTAATGACTTAATTTTCCTTATTAAATTAGGATGATATTTGCATGAAAATATTTGTTGCAACAATGAAATAATTCATGAATTTCGTTCCTTTTTTTTTAATAAATTATATTAATTATCCTTTTTAATTTTCTAATTGTTGAAAAATAAAATTGAAGCGGAGTTTATTTTTTAAATACAATATTTTTCAAGTATTTAAGATAATAATAATAGAGAGAGAGAGAGAGAGAGAGACAGAGAAGAGGAGAGAGAGATTAGTTAGAGATATTTTTGTAGTTTTATTCTCATTTACTATTTTATTTCCAATTTGAAATAAGTCTTAAATGATAGCAACCTTTTTTAAATTTCATTCCTGAAATGAATAAGATTTAATTTCGGGACTCTAACCTAAATTTTATTGTTTACGAAGAGAAAGAACGAATTACATTAGTTTGTACGATGGGTTTGTTTTTTGATGGGAGAAATATTGCTAGAAGTTGTTCGAAAAGATTTTTCAGCTATCATAAATAAATAAATTTAAATGAAATTTCAACTTTTGATGATTCATTTCTACCATGTGAAATTAAATGAGTACACATATATAAATATAATATATATTATCGAAAACTATTTTTTCAAAAAAATTGTTTACAAATCCATTTTGCTCTCTCAAACCATTTTTGATTGCATGCATTACGGAAAAAATCATTTCACATTGAAAAATAATCATGCAAACTGTTTCCGGTTGTTCATTTTTTCTGGTCCATTTTCTGTTTTCGTTATCATTTACTAATTGCTATCTTATTCTTCCTTCCAATTTATCATACTTCATCTCATTCTACTTTAAATGATGAATTTATGCTATTAAAAGTATAGCAAAGTATATGATAAATATAAATATATCAAAAGTATATGATAGAATTTATCAAAGTATATAGTAAATATAGGTGTATCGAAGTATATGATATCAATATATCAAAATAAATGATGTGAATATATCAAAGTAAGTGATGAGTATATCACAATATGACAAATATAGGTATATCAAAGTATATGATAAATATAAGTGTATCAAAGTGTATGGTATGAGTGTATCAAAAAATATATGATAAATGAAGTATATGATATCAATATATCAAAATAAATGATGTGAATATATCAAAGTAAGTGATGAGTATATCACAATATGACAAATATAGGTGTATCAAAGTATATGGATGGTATGAGTATATCAAAGTAAATGATATGAGTATATCAAAGTATGACAAATATAGGTATATCAAAGTATATGATAAATATAAGTGTATCAAAGTGTATGGTATGAGTGTATCAAAAAGTATATGATAAATGTTAAGTATACCGAAGTATATGATATGAGTGTATCGAAAAGTATATGATAAATATTAAGTACAAGTATATATTAAAATATATGATAAGGAAGAAGAAAAATTAAAACAAAAAATGAGTGTATGTAATAAATTATTGGATTAGGCTTCCTCTATTAAGCTTTCTTTATCTTTTCAAATATTTGTTTGACAATAAAACTTTCATCTCTTTCCTTTTCATCAGTAGTATTCCACAAAATATTTCCATTAGTTTGCATGGTGGAATTCTTAAGTTTGACTTATTTCAATCTTTTCTAAAGCAAAAAAAAGCGAGAGAGAGAGGGAGAGAGAGAGAGGGAGAGAGAGGGAAGCTAAATGGCCTCATTTAACATTTTTTTTGCACTAAAATTGCTGGATAATTTTTTAAATATTGATTATCCCCGTGCAATATATGTATATTTGATTTAGGGGGTTTTAATGATACGAATAGAAAATATTGGAGTACTATTTTAGGCTAACTATTAATGACCTTGATTAAAAGAGAAACGGGAAAGAGAGGAAGAAGTAAGAGGGAAAAATGGCTGGAAGAGGAATGAGAGGCTATGAAGAAATTACAACTTCCGATTTCTATTTTATTGATTGTTGTTGACAGAAGCGTTTGCTCAGATTTTAGTTGAAAAATTTTTTTTCTATAATTTTTCAAAATCTATCATTTAAAAAGATACTATCATAAAAGACATCTTATGTGTGGTCTACAAATTGTGAAAGATCAACAATTGTTACTTGTGATAACATCAATGAAATATATCAGTGATTTGCTTTCAGAGATAAATGTGCTATATCTTTATCATATCTTATATATTAAATGATAGATAAATTAATCAGTTAAATAATTAATCATTTATTATTTCTAAGCTTTAAAAATTTTTATCTTCTTGATGAGTTACATATTAATCATCGTGATAATTTCTATATGTGTATCTTCTTAGCTCTATTATCAAAACTCTTGCACTTTTAATGTTTTAGTTCAATAATATTATAAACCAAAATGTTAGGCCTAAAATGTTAGGCCTAACCGAAATGCGAATGCCATCCATTTCATCCTATTATTTATCATTCAAAATGGTCCTATTCATTTTTTGATGTGCTTTTTTTCTTTGTTTAATTTAATTTTTCCTTCAATGCATTTCCTCATTATAAATGCTATTAAAGTGATAATGCGTATTATATTCATTTTAATTTGCCGACTATTTATTTATTCTTCTTAATGAAATTTTCAAAACTCTTTCTTAATTACAGATGTCAACAAATGATACGGCAGATGTTTGTCTAACTATACCAAATTCAGGTGATGGTGAACGAAAACCTGGTGTACACCGGAATGTATCAATGAATCGTTTTCAGGTATTTGTAAAAATCGAAATTTCGCTCTCTTCTTTTTTCGTCAAGTTTTATTCCTAATATTTCTGAACTCTGAATTTTTGTCATATCTGATCGAATTTATAATAACTTATAATTGGATATATATTTAGGAATTTGTTTTATCCTTACAACGAAGAGAATATAGAGTAGAGTAATTAGAGTTGAAGTTTAGATGTAGAAAAATAAAAGCGTTGAAAATTAAAAATAAAATTGATCAAATTTGCAACAACCAAAAAAACAAAACAGCAACTGTTCCCTTTTTTTTCACCAATTTTATCCCATCAAATAAGGCCTGAAATATCCTAAATATAGAGCCTGAAATAGAATAGGAAATCTTATTCGGATTCATGTGAATTTATTTTCTATATAGTAAATCCTAAGCTTATTACATCTTCCTCTCATTTCGTTTCGTAGTTTTGCTCATTCTTTACATCTTTTTAAATGAAATACGAAATGTTATTGTTGTTTACGACGATACTACTTAAATAATGAATCGTAATAAATTTAAATTTCGTTTTTTTCCCGACATTATTTCAATTACTAATATTATATTACTAATATCATCATATCACTAATATTTTATATTACTAATATCATCATATCACTAATATCATTTTATATTACTAATATCATCATATCACTAATATCATTTTAAATAAAATTTTATATGTAATCAAAATTTTTTTCCTTCATATATAATAAAATTTCAAGAACTTTCAAGTTTTTTCCAACCATTCGATTAAATCATTTGATTTTAACTAGGGAAACAAAAGCATTTGTAAAATGAGTAAAATTTGTTAATTAATTTTTTTTACTTTTTTCAGGTATCAAAATTGAACATAGATTCAAATGATTTACCGGCATCATCATCAATAGCTGATGCTGCTGAAACAGGAAACGCTAAACCTGAAATGCATAAAGCAGCTAGTGAACCACCACCACTTTCACATCCTACATTGAAAGATACGGAAAGGAAAAATAGCGCAATGGGTCGATTTGAGGTATTCAAATTCATATATTTCTATAATAATAATTAATTACAGTAATAATAATAATAATAGTAATAATAATAGTAATAATAATAATAGTAGTAATAATAATAATAATAATAATAATAGTAATAACAATAATAGTAATAATAATAAAAATAATAATCTTAAAAATTTAGCAACACTAAATGAGAAAATTATTTCAATAGCAAAAAATGAAAACAAAGAGATGATATTTGATAGTTTAAAAAGTAATTGCTATAACTGTTATTATCAATTGATTTTAAAGTTTCTATTAAGTATTTGAAATTTTTTTTTCATATTTAAAATGATATTTAAAAATTAAAATAAATTAAGCAATTTATGATATTTATCAAGAAATTATCCGGAAGATTTCGCCTAAGCTTTCTACCATTTCTATTCTCTTATGTATCATTGACATATGACCTCTTTCTTTTTTCCTTCATTTTTTTATTCCCTACAGTTATTTGGTAAACAAAAGCAAATAATTTTACTTTTTAATTGGCATACCTCATCAAACATTAAACACTTACGATGACAAATTCTTCATAAAAAATTTTAAACAACATGCCAATGACACTTTGCAATCTTCTCATAATGACAAAATTTCAATTGTTTTACATCAGTTGAAGAAATTTCTGAAGCTTAGTTCTGTTGTAAAAGCACTGGGTGGGTACAAGTGCTAGCATACCTATCGCTGTGGTAATTTTTGAATGTGAGGGGGATATAATTATTACATTAGATTGTATAATTTTTCAGATTCAAGTTAGAATTTTCAACTTTCCTTCGAAAAATTTTGTTTTTTTTTGCAGAAAATTTGTCGGAAATTCTGCGATTCAAAATACTTATTTATTACTAAAATTGATATTCATGTAAATCTGTCAAGAAATTTACTTAATTCCAGTAATTTAGATAATTATCTTTAAATTTTATGATTAATTAATATATTTCAAAAAGAGAAAAAATCTTTTTGAATGTAATAATCACACTTGCATTTTATTAATTCTAAATAAAATTTACTCATATTCCGTTCATTTTCTATATTTCAATATTCAACAATAATTTGACTTAAATACATTTCTTGTTTCACTAAAGAAGCACTTTGATCTTGAATGTATTTGAATCGAAAAAATAAAATATCCCGAGATATCTTGAAATGAAAAAATTCATTATGAGAATAATAATCTACCATAATTAAAATTTAATAATATTAATTAATCTCATAATAAGAAAGCATTAAATGAATGAGAAAATTTCATAATTAGCATTAAAATATTTATTGTGTTTCATCTTTTCTTTTTTCGAAACTTTTTTATTGTTTTAAAAATTTTTGAAATTTTCCATTTTATCTCAACTAAATTCTCATTGCCTATTAATGCTTCGAATAATTTTCCTTCGTCTATTATTGTTGAAAATTTTAATTCAACGTATTTGAGAGGAATTTGCATAAAGAAATATTTCAGAGAGGAAGAGAGTGTTTCATAAATAAGACAATAACACTTCAAAGCAACAAGTGTTTAAGAAGTATTATTCTTATTTATGAAATTTTCACATCAATTAATGAAAAATTCTTTCTATGCAATATTATCATAATACTTTAAATATTTATAACTATGTATATATAGTTACATATATATAGTGGAAGAATTTTTTCTTATTCAGTACAACTTATTGATTAATTTTATTTTATTTAAATCAAATTAAAAAGAAATTAATTCATTTCTTTTGTTTTGTAAATTATTTCTTCATTCCAACTAATAAAGTAAAATAATTTTCCTCCTGAAATTTCAACGTGATAAGTTGAATTTCGTAAAAAAAAGAACAAACAAATCATTCTCTTTCTACGCTATCCAAAATTTCAAATATTTGTTTTTAGTATTTTGAATTTGGAACGGCGCTATTTTCATTAGCATAACTTTCTATGCATTCCACATTTTTTTTTTTAAAATTATTTTATGCTAATTAATCACTGCGAAAGGTTTAATATTTATAATTTGCATTTAGCAAAAAAGTGGAACATTTATTCTATTCACATTTAAAATATTCTACGATATATCTCTGCCAATAAAATGGTGGAGTTGCTTTTATTTTATTTATTTATTTGAAATTTGTTATTGTTTATTTTGTTTTCTCCCTCTCTCTCTCTTTTCATAATTTATATATAATTTCGATCATTAGGATCGGTTTTATTAACGGCGAATGCAAATGTTATATATATAAACGTTCAATAATGCAGAATTTCTGTCGCGTACGCTAATGTTAGTATTACGTTTGCTTCTGTCACGTACGCTAACGTTAGTATTACGTTTGCTATACGTACGATTGAACGTTTATAACCTCTACCTTTCATTAAGAAAGTCTAAAATTTGCATTTTAAAAAAATTAGAACATTTATTCCACTCATATTTAAAATTATAAATTGTTTTACGATATATCCGAGGAAAATAAATTTTCTCATTTATCTTATTTCTGTATTGGCTATTTATTTTTCATTTTTTTATTTTGTTAATTAATTTTTAATTTAAAAGAAAAATTGACAAATTTCAAATGAGAAAATTTATTGAATTTCTTTATATTTAATAATGCAAAAATTAGCAATTTTATTTATTGCAATAAAATTTGAAATTTAAATTATCTCTCAATACTTAAATAAATTATTTATTTGTTTATTGAAAATATCGTATTTTTCACCCAATGAAAGTATTATATTTTAATTTCATTTTTAATATTTGTTTTTCAAAACATAAATGTTTGTTTTGTAGAAAATTTCTGTTTGAAATCGAAATTTAAATCTATTTCAAATTCATTCAATTCATTCAATTAAATCTTTTATAAATGCATATATGCGAAAATTTCCTACACTTTTCCTACATTTCTGCATCATAATTTTAGCTTTTAAATATTTAATAGAAATTTAAATACAATTTTTATGATATAGGAAATTGTTAGAGAGCTTTTACAATGAAGCGATAATATTAATATTTAATATTTATAATGCTTGAATTTTTTCCTTCCTTCTTTTCTTCATTAATGGGAATTGAAAATTTCATTTATTTTCGATTAATAAACTTTGTTCAAAACTTATTTATCTATAATATCTTCAATTATGAAATGAGAAGAAGGACTTATGGATTATAAGATAGAAAAATCTTGTTTTATCGGTATCATTTTTTTTTGTTAAAATATTTTAATTATTTTAAAAGCTAATCCTTCAGGTATCATCCAATGTAGGTTGTGCTGTCGAAGGATTACCTGAAATGTCGGGAGAAGATTCTCAGCAAGTAAACAATAATAATACAAATAGAAATGCGACTAATCATGGTGAATCTCTAATATCACCATCAAGTACCAATGGAACTGAACGAACCGTGCGATTTTCGGTGGAAAGTGGTGCGGAAGAACGACAGCATCCTGGTGAAGGAGAGGATCAGCATAATACAACATTTAATTTGAAAAGTTGGCGGTTAGTATTTTCTTTTAAAATCTGTTTGATTTTATGACTCATTCAGATATGTGAATATTGAAAAAGCTAACCTTGTTCAGATGGTACAGTTTTAGAAATTTCAATGATTCATTTCAATGGTTTGTTAAATTCGAATATTCTATTTTTGATTAAAAGTTTTATTGATTACTGTAATTTTGATTAATTGTGATATATTTTAGGAATATGCACACAATTGATCATCCACCGATTATTGATTTCTACCGTAATTCCATAGATGAAGGTGGTGGTGTAACATCTCGACCATCAATGAATCAATTGATACATGGTGAGAATGCTCAGGATACTGTAATTGGAATCGATGAATTTAAGGTTAGTTGTAAATGTGGTAGTATTATTTTCCTATCCAGATAGATTTACCTATTGAAATAACCATCTATTAGTGATGATGCTAATCATGAAAATGATTCATGATATGAGTAATCAATTGGTCAATTTTGATTAATAATTTTCTTGTGTTTTAATTTCATTTGTATTTTTTTATCATTATTCGAAGGAAGGAAGTATGAAAGAGTTATATTAACTATGCTGTAATCACTGATTTAACAATAATAGTTTTACTTGGAACAATTATATATTGTAACTCATAACAATTATACCAATATTTATTGATAAGAAATGATGTTATAAGCATACCTTATCAAATAATTTTAATCTATCAATTAATTTTAGATTAAAAAAGTTGAGAAGAAAATAATTTCAAACACACTGCTGAAACACTTAATATGGGATGATTTAAGTTTTTGAAATTATAAATTCAATTTTTTTAAATTTGTTAAATTTTAAATTTAACAAAAAAATACAATTTTAATGGTTTAAATTTAACAAATGTAATTATCAATGTTGTGGGAATCTTCTTATAGAAAGATGCGGATGATATAATAAATGGAGAAAGGGCGACAACAGCAAAACTTAGTAAATTTGAGCCTCCGGCACCTGTTGTACGAACTAAATTCGGCTGGATTCAGGGTGTTTTCGTACGTTGCATATTGAATATTTTTGGTGTAATGCTTTATTTACGTATTAGTTGGGTTGCCGGACAAGCTGGAATCAGTAAGTTGCAAATATCTTAATAGTAATTATTCATTTAATAAAATAATTTCTTAATGCAATTAATAAAAAATGCCTTCCACCGGATTGAAGGTTAAATCAAGTTAAATTATCAATCTTATTCCAATTATCTTAAATAATCTGATGTATTATGATCAATCTATTGAAGCAGAATTACTGATAAATATAACAGAATTACTGATAAATATATCAGTAATTGAGCAGAATTACTGATATATTTATCAGTAATTCTGCACAGTGCCAAATACTTTCGTGTTATCTCAAAATTTGTTAAATTTTCGAAAATTTTTTAAAATTTACATTCCAAAAACATGGGATATTTTCAAATTTTCCAGTTAGAATTATTGCTGTTACAATTTTGTTGCATTTTTTCAATTTTAACTCCAGTTTCCGTTTCCTGTTTCTGATTACTGGTTTTATGGTCACTTTAGATATTTCTGTCAACAATTTTTTTTTAAATTTTCAGTGATTAACAATTGAATTTATTAATTTAGTATAATTTCAGTATTAGGATGTGCAGTTGTACTCCTTGCTTCGTTGGTAACATTTATCACGGCGCTATCAACGTGTGCTATTTGTACAAACGGTGATGTGAAAGGCGGTGGTGCTTATTTTTTGGTTAGTTATTATTTCTTTTTCAGCAATAAATTTAATGATAAACAATAATTGATTGTGTTATTCAAATTCAAATTCTGATGCTAATATAATCTTAAATATATTACTTCAATTACTTCCATTATCAATTATTATCATTATCAATATCAATTACTTCCATTTCCTCTAACTCTTTTTGCTCCTTCTTAATTTCAAATTTTCGCAACTTTATATTACTACGATTTGGAAGATGAATTATTGCAGAAGTCTCACAAAGTAAAATAAGACTTATGAACCATTTAGATGCTTTTCTGTATTTGCTTCTCCGGAAAAAAGGAACGATGGTAATAATTGAAAAAGTATAAATCTGGATGAAATTTCTAAGCTAAATTTTAGATTAGTCGTTCGTTGGGTCCAGAATTTGGTGGTTCTATTGGTTTGATATTTTCGGTAGCAAATGCAGTTGGTGCAGCAATGTATGTGGTTGGATTTGCTGAAACAGTACGAGATTTGCTGAAAGAATATAATTATGCAGTTATTGATGGTGGAATGAATGATGTACGAATAATTGGTCTTGGTATGTAAATAGGAGATCTTAATTAATTTACTTTAATATTATTAAGATTGCTTATAATTAGACTAATTGTTCTATATCACTCTTATCTAAGTCTAAACTACTCTAGACCGATATGTTAACAAATCAATCCCTAGCTACAGTATAATTATCAAGAGAAATTACGTCTTTCAGTAGATATGCATCCTGCAGAATTCGTTATAATATTCAACTAACTTATTAAACATGTTTTCTGATATTCTAATACTGAAGAAGTTAGTTATAATCTGTAAAAGAAAAATATTTGAAATTTCATTAAAACTATTTGAAATTATTAGTCACTCAAATAAAATCACTAAAATCACTATTATTTAATGATATCATTATTCTTTATCTCTGACACTTTCAATACTATCCCTTGTCGATAATTCAATCATTTGCAACAATAAACTTTTTAGCTTATTTCGAACTTTTCAATAAGTCATTTTGACGTATTTTATGACCTTTAACATTGAGCAGGTTGAATTTTTAGGATATAAAAGATTTTTCATTACTTATTATTAATCATTGGTTTCATTTAAAAATGAAATGTCACAAATGACAAATCATTATTGTTCTTTCGTATGATACAGCAAATCAATTAGTTATCTCTTAATGAAATATTAGCGAAAGTGGACTTAAGCGTATAACGAAAAGAAATTCCTCCTTTAAAAATTATCTAAATATTTTTAAATTGTAGTTTCCTGTTGCGTATTAATGGCAATTGTGTTTATTGGGACAAGTTTTGAAAGTAAAATGCAAATTGGTTTACTTGCTATTTTAACATTATCTATTATCGATTATTTTATTGGAACTTTTGTACCAGTTTCGGAGAATCAATTATATCGTGGTATTACAGGCTACAGCTGTAAGTATTATCTTTTACAGCATGCACTTGTTTTTTTCTAAGTGACGCAATAAGATTATATCATGGTGACATATAGATATGCATAAAAATTACCTGATAACGTAGGCCTTCTGAATCTATGCACACTGATTCAATTATTTAGTCATTTTTTTGCACCTTAGTTAATTATATAATCTCTGTGGTCAGTTAGTTATGCAAATGGTCATTTCTGAATGATCAATCTTACAGAGAGTATTAAAATTGGTTTTATCTTGTTGTTTTCGTGTACTTCATTAAATTCTTCCCAATCATTAATGTTGTTAAACATTTCCCTTAATTAATGGTATTTTAGAGCTGATTTATAACCTCTCTCAAATATACATTATTATTATGTCTTCAGCTTTACCTAACTGTTATTATATGATCGAAAAAACTAAAACTGATATTATCAAATACTTTAATTACTTATTATTTTATCTTCTGTAGAATTATTACAATTTTGCAGTTACTACAATGACTGAAAATATGCTTCCGAATTTTCAAAGTGGTGAGACATTTTTTTCCGTATTTGCTATATATTTTCCAGCTGCAACAGGAATAATGGCAGGTGCAAATATCAGCGGTGATTTAGCAGATCCTCAGGTAATTTAATCATTAATAAATATTGCTGTAACAGTGTTTTTATTTGCATTTTCGATATTGTGAAATCTACACTGATAGCAGAATGATTCATTTTACTCCTTTTTTTATTGTTTTAAAGTAGAAAATTATTTTATTTTTGTCGTCTAAAGAACTCTGGAAAATAAAATTTCAGGATAATTAGAGCACAATATAATTAGGCTTACAACATTTAATTTTTAAATTTATTTTAGCATGCTATACCAAAAGGTACATTATTAGCAATAGCGTTAACAACAGCGGTATATTTATTAGTTATATTTGCAACCGGATCAACATGTGTACGATATGCTGATGGTTATCAGCAACCATATATCGTTAATAATTCCTATTTCATTCCCGATTGTGCGCATAATAACACATGTCCATACGGTTTAATGAATTATTTTCAGGTTAAAATTTTTAAACTTTTATTCTATTTTTATATATTAGTTTTTTCAGCAAAATAGTAATATTTCTTATTCCTTATTTTTATTTTTCAACAAATTTAATTTTAATTAAATTACCATTATTTATTTATTTATTTGCAATTTAGGTAATGGAAACTGAAAGCTTATATGGACCATTAATTACAGCTGGTATTTTTGCTGCAACATTAAGCTCAGCTTTAGCTAGCCTTGTTAGTGCACCAAAAATTTTTCAGGTAACATTTTCTTTTTTATTGCTACATTTTCAACTAATTTTTTTTCGTAATTTCTTTGGCTTAAAAAATTCATTAATAATTTACTGGTCTATACAAAAGTGGATAAGCATTTAGGGAAAAGATTGATAGATAATGGGAAGAAAAATGTTGAAGAGTGAAGTTTTTCTTAGTCTCAATGGTTATTAATATACTTGTAGGTGATGATACCTGAAATTTAAGACCTCCAGGTTGTAATCTTCATTGAATATAGGCCGTATGCAAAGATCGTCTGTTCCCGAAGACGGATTTCTTTGCACGAGGTTATGGCAAAAATGAAGAACCGCAACGAGCCTATGCACTTGGCTTCATAATCGCTTTGGTGATGATTCTAATCGGTAATTGCTGGATTTCTAATCACTTTGATCAATTCATTTGATAAATGTTTTATTTTGGAGAGAAAAAAATCGATATATCTGGAAATTTTATTGATTTATTCCTCCCAATGAAAAAGGCTAACTTTTTGTAAAAAAACAATACAGCAATTTTTTTAATGATTTTATTTCGAAAAATTGACACAAAAAAATTGAATTTGAAAGAAATAAAAGTTTTGGTAAGGGATGTAACTGTCGCGATTGGTACTTTCCTAATGGTACTTGCAAATATTTCTTACTCCATTGGTTCCAATTATGTTGATATTTCTCTATAACATTTGCGAAATTGAACTTTTAACCTATGAAAATTACTAAATTATATTTTAGTGCAAGAAATATGTTAATTATGCCAATAAAATACACATGCGATTTTAATGCTTTACCTCTAAAATATCATATTTTTCGTAGTAGTGAAATTCAAAATATCATTCTTTCTACTCATTTATTCTTTACTGTAATTAATCATTGTTTTCACTGTAATTAATCACTTATCTTTTTTTTATTTAGACTTATTTAATTATTTTTTTAAAATTCATTCATAATGCTTTTTCTAATTGAAAAATATTCTCAATTGTTATTGAGATCGGATCGGTTTAAATTTTAATCTTTTTCCTCTAATTATTGATCGAAAATTTCAGGAGAATTGAATGCAATAGCACCAATAATTTCAAACTTTTTCTTGGCTTCCTATGCACTCATTAATTATTCATGTTTCGATGCTTCATTTGTTGATTCACCAGGTTTTAAAATTTAATTTTAAGAACAATCCTTTTTATTATTGAACCGAAAAGTGATTAGATTTATACTTGTTGATAATATTAGTATTATCAATTAGCACAAGTAAGAGGATATCATCTAATTTTTTTAAAATATTAAGGTTTTCGACCTGCTTTTAAATATTACAATATGTGGGTGTCATTAACCGGTGCATTGCTATGTATTAGTGTTATGTTTATTATTTCATGGTCGACTGCATTGCTCACATTCTTCTTTTTTGCGGTGTTATTTTTATATATATTGTATCGTAAACCAGGTTTGCTTTTTGATATATGAGAGTATATCTAATTTTATTTTAAAATTTAAATTCAACAACTTTCCAATTTAATTTTTCCTTTAATTATATAATGAATTAGCCTTGAATTTAATTTTGAATATATTCAATATGACGAAATGTTTCTTTTAAAAAAAATTATAATATATCAAAAGTTTGAACTTTTCAATATTCAATTTTTTTGAAGTTTTTATGCTTGTAAGAAATTTAAATTTGCTAAATAAGAATTTAAAATTCTCAGGTAGTGAAAGGTTAGCATATAAATTTCCTTTTATCTTTTTGCTTCATTAATCATTTCATTAATATTTTATGATAGATGTTAATTGGGGATCATCCACACAAGCTCATACATACAAGAAAGCACTACAAGCTATGCAAAAATTATCCAATACCGAAGAGCATGTGAAAAATTACCGACCACAGATATTGTTATTGGCCGGTAATCCGGCAGCGCGACCATCACTTGTCGATTTTGCTTATAATATTACAAAAGGATCGAGTTTGATGATATGTGGTTTTGTTGTACCGGTATGATTTTCTTTTTTTGGTGGAAATAATTATAATCTTGAAGATTTTAATTTTTATTAAATAGTTGTACCGGAAATATTGCTAGTTGGAAAGATTATTCATTTATTCCGGTTGATTAATCTGTCATAAAGAGGCTCATTGATAGGTTTTTTTTTGATAAGCTTATTGATAGGCTTTTTTGATAAGCTCATTTTTTTCCTTTTTTTTGTTTGATTCTAATTGATTTGTATCGGGCTCCTTTTGATTTTTCTGAATGTGAAAGTGAATTAGTTAGTGGGTTTAATGTTGAGTATTCTAGTGTTGGTTTTGTGGGTGCATTTTTAAGAGAATATGGGAATTTGTTATATTTTAGTTGTTTGACTTCCAGTTTGTTTTTTGATATGAATTTTTTGTTTTTTTATTTTATTATTTGTATCATTCATAGATCCTTACTGTTCTGTTCAACGAATGGAATAGTTATAAGTTTCGGTCTCTAATAACCTATAATATCCTAAAATAACCTATAATATCCTGTCTTACCGATACAATAAGTAGCAATTTAATATAATTTTATGTTTTATTGAGCTTGCGATAGATTTGATTCTCTACATAATTGTGTAGTAAAGGAAATTTTCTACATAATTGTACAGTAAAGGTAGATCGAGAAAGGTCAAAAAAGATTAGTGGAAAATTGTTTGATATGTTATTAGCAAAATGATCATTTATTAGCAAAAATACTTCATGTGAAAGGAAATGCTAAATATTTATCGGCGAGGTAAATTACCTGGACCAAGATATTGTGGAATTAAATTTTTTAATAACTGTTTTTTTACTTTTTCTTCTAAGCTTTATGTCGTAAAAATTATTTTAGTATGAGCCATGTGATCGAGTATTTGCGCTACTTAGAAAATTGGATGTTCAAATGAATGAATGGCTGAAGAAGCGTCACGTAAAATCATTTTACGTTTCCGTAGCTAGTCCTAGCTTACGTACTGGTGCTCAAACATTACTTCAGGTAAGATTTCATGCGTTTTTTTTAGAAAGTAATTATATTTCATATATATAGTATGACAAATATTGATGAAAGTGAAAGGTAAAAATTATGAATTTTGTTTTCCGATTATTTTATTAATCTTAATTCGCTGAAAATGCTAAATCTTTAAGGTTGCTGGTCTTGGAAAATTGAAACCTAATATTTTGATCACCGGTTTTAAAAGAAATTGGGCAGAACGTGGTGCTGAAGGATTGGGTGAAATTAACGATTATTTTGGAGTTATTCAGTAAGTTTCTAATTCAATTCGTTCTTACCTCTCTGTAAATTATTATTAGATTAAATCATCGACATGATCGATCGGGATGGTCAGGATTGGTGATGATTGATAATGATGATAATACTAGTATTAAGAATAATGACAATGATAAGTGTTATCAGTACTATAATGAACTCGTCAAATTACGAATAATACTATTGTAATAATGGAATTCTGCAGTTGACTCATTGCTGGATTTAATTTAATTTAATTTTATCGGTTTTTTATGAAACCGATAAAATTAAATTAAATATAGAAAAAATGAATTAATAGGGTTTTTAAAGGGAAAATGAATTAAGTAAATATGTTGGAAGAGGGCCTATAAGTAAAGATAGTTAATTAAGAATTTCGCTGAAATTTCGTTTTTTTTGTTGTTCAGGGATGCTTTCGAAAGTCGAATGGGAGTAGCAGTGCTAAGAAATTCTCGAAGTGGGCTTGATTATAGTGAACTGATGAAACGGCATAATGTAGGTGATATGGCACGACTTAATTTACCCAATATCATTCGATCTTCAATTTCAACAAAAACGGAGTAAGTGATATATGTCAAATGATTATCCGAGTTAATATTTAACTAACTACATGGACTAGGCCAAAAAAATAGGATCATCAATTGACGTATAATGATTAATTTTAATTGATATATATAATATATATATTGATTGATTGATACATTGATATATTGATATCAATTGATATATTTTTTATTAAATTACATCAAATTGAGCAATTACATTATCAGTCTTATCTTCTTTCTTCTTAAATTATCAAATTTTAGTAGTGGAGCGAATAATCATGAAGCGCAAGAAATAAAATCGACAGAAGATGATGTTAACATCACTGATAAAAAGTATATTGATTAATTTTTCTTTCATTAGCTTATACGCAGTAGCAATAACTATTGATTTAATTTAGCTCAAGTAAATATTTCAGAGTCAAAGATGATTCAGAACAAAATATGGATGCTGATCAAGAACAAGGTGTTAATGCATGTTAGCACTTTTATAATTTCTATAATATAAATTAGGATTAATAAATGATTTAATTAATGGCAAGAAGTTAAGGTGCCACCTCTAAGATAATAATCTTTATGGAAAAGCTAATGTAAGATCTTATCGATCAGATAATCAATGGTTTATTCTAGTGGAAAAGAATGGAATGAATCTGATATTATCTGATTGGAGAATGATATAGATTTAGAGAAATTTTTTTTCATATTAGGATCAATAATAAACTAATAGTTTGAAATTTTAAATATATGTTATTTGGTGTCTTTGTGTGTGATGGCGTTGATAGTAATAGTTGTAGTAGTGGTAGTATTAGTAATTGGATGCATATGTTTATTGCGATTAAACGTCGTATTTTACCATGGATGCTTTTGTCAATATTTCGATTTTCGGGATAAGATCATGGAAGAGTGTGATTTAAACGATGATTTTACAGTCAGGATTCGGTTAGCTTGAAGCATTGAAGATTCGTATCATATTGATCATTTCGAAATTGTTACGTGTGAAAGAAATTGCACTAAATATTGCATGCTTTGCTGGAATGTTTAGTTTGAATGAAACTGTTGAATTCGTAAATTGTAAAGTTTTAGTTTTAAAAGTTACTGATTCATGTATATAATCTCTTTCAGCGATGCGATTGCATCGGCAAAAAGCCATTGATGTAGAAAGTAGCAGAAAAGATGGTATAGCGGTCAATACCGCAAATTTGGATACATTCGCAACAGCAAATACAAGCGATGCTTTGAATGTAGAACATTTTGATTCTATTAATGAATCTTTACTTCTTGGCAACATTCTGCATCTTGCGGGTAATTCAACTCATCATATCAGGAGAACAAACAGCGCTCAGCGCTTATGTTATTCTCCTGATAGCTCATTTATGTGACATTATCATTGGTCACTACTATACTATCATCTATTTTCCTATCTTCTCTTCATTTTCTTCATAATCATTCCTAATCTTTTGATGCTATTAAATGCTTAAACATTTAACACTTTACTGCTTCAGTTTAGTTTTAAATTATGCGAACTGTCAAACTGTCAATATATTTTATTGCTTTTTTTTATTGGTTTATATTACTCACTGCTTGCAATTGCATGCATTTCGTCTTTTCATGCATCTGTTACTAATATTTACCTGAGATTTTGGGTTATTTACCTATTATTTGCAATAATTAATTTTTTCAGCAACTGGTTCTTATTTGGCTAATTGTCCATTGGAATGTTTTGATGAAGAAAAGAATGAATGTGAATTGGATGGTGGAGCTATTGTAGAAAATGCTAATGATGATTTAGAAGAGGTTCGAATTTCTTTCCTCTTTGTTTTTTCGTAAAATTTGAAATTTTCAAAAATTATGTTTTAAAGAAAAATGAATAGAATGAAAAATTTGCATATATCATTGAATTTTTCTTCATCTTTTAATTTACTTGAAAAGGAAAACGTTGAAAATTTAATTTCGAAAATTTTCTTTTTCAAAATATTATAAAATTTTGCGAATGTGTATTTTGCGGATTGAGCATTTAGTTAATAATTAATTATATGAATGAAAAGGTATAATTTTTTGTTGTTTAAATTCAATTAATTAATAAAAAATTTCAGAGCAATAAATACTTTGTCGTTTTTCTTAATTAATAGCAAAATTTCAGCAATTTATTTCAGTCTAATATTTCTTCGTGATTTTTTTAAATCTTTGATATATAAGAAGCAAGCAAAATGTTATCAAAATTTAATCTTATCAAAATTTTATCAAAATACAATCTTATCAAAACGTTATCAGAATACAATCTTATCAAAATGTTATCAAAAATATTATCATAATTTAGCACAACAGCAAGTGTCTAGTTTTAATAATTGCCTTGATGAGCTAATATTTCTGCACAAGCAAATATGTTTGAAAATTACTAAACTGTCAGTTAATGGAAGTAAAACGAAATTGGAAATTATTTTTTTTCTTCATTAAAATTACTAATTAATATATTGCAGATTTTCGTCTAACCAAATTTGTCTGTTAATTTTACACGTGTTCGTCTGCTATAAAAAATATTTGTGCAAAATTGTTAATTAATGTTCGCTTAATTAAAATATTTGTATAATTGAAATGAAGTAAGTTGACAAGTTAGTGATAAATTAATGAATAAGTTGCTGATCAGTGCTTTGTAGGATTGTGATGAATATACGGATGAAAATACACGACTAACAAAAGGTAGCAATGATGGTGAGCAGCTATTAACACACGAGCAGAAGCTTCACAAAAATCGTCATCATTATATTGCTGTCATTAATCATGATAATAATATTGACGGTGGTGCTAATAATGATGATATTGGTAATGTTATTGATAACGATAAGGTCCGTCCGCTTTCTCACACCTGTTTTATTAACATTAACGTTTATCTTTTTTTTTTTTTTGTTTGTAGCTTATCATTTATTTGTCTCGTTGATTATTTCAATTCCATTACCGTCGTATTCGTAATGTTGAATAATTTCCAATTATTGGGAATTGTTTAAATTTATAATTAATTTTTTTAATTTAATTTATAATTAATTTGCTTCCTAACTTATTAAATTATGTGATAATTTTATCGTTTATTTATTTATTTACTGCTTATTTTATGCATGAAATAACACTTCAATATATCGTAGCATTGAGAAACTTACATCGATTTGGTAAATTGATCGGTTGATATTCCTGAGATTGGTCGATAATCTGAGTACCAGAAGATTTATTTAATGGTATACGTCATATTCTTCTGTAAGGGAACAATGATAACACCGGTAGTAATAGTAGTAGTGATATAGTATAGTACAATGGTATGTGAAACTGGCTGGATATCTTCTCGATCATTAATTTTTTGTTAGTTTGTTTAGTAAATCGAAAATTATGCCAATAAACAAATAGCATAATACTAATTCACTGATATATAACTTATAATATTAGTTATAAATTCGTATAACTATTGGATAATTTGTATTTTTGTGACATTTCGCAAATTTTTGTTCCACAAAGAACTGACTAGTTACGACATTGCGGAAAATTTTTTTGTATCAAAGAGGTAAATTTGATTAGTTGCTGAAAATTTGCAAATTTGATAGGAGTATTGATTAAATTTAACAGTGCAAACAATTTCATCAATTTGAATTTAAAGCTGATAATATTTATAACAATAGTGATAATTATCGTTATAAATATGCTTAACTGTATTAACTTTCCAGGCAGTTGAAATACCTGAAACACAAAGACGACACTCATTACATGATAGTCTTCGAAGGTAATTTTTTTAGTAGATTCATTTTTTCGAAATTTTGAATATACAATATTTAATCTTAAAATCTTGCTTAAAATTTATCACAAAAGTCTTGATAGCACGGTAGTAGCATTAGATGAGCATTATCTAAGATGGGAAATATAAGTTTCCATTATATGCTCAAGTTGGTAATAACATTAGATGAGCAATATCTAAGATGGGAAATATAGTTTCCATTATATGCTCAAAAGTTTAGTAATTTAAATATCATTTGTTTAAAGTGTTAAAAACGAAATAAATTCATGATATCATACAAAACTGAAATATCAAATCCTAAGATATTGATCGCAATATTAACAAAAATTTGATTTGCTAAAAAATTATTTATTCTCTAAGTTATAGGATTTAGATTATAATTGAATTCTTTTTAAGATAAGCAAAAATTGATAATATTAGAAAAAAAGTATCGAGGTTTAAACGGTCATCAACTTTTAATGTCTATGATATAGTCGTTATTAACTAAATTAGCAATGAAATTCCTTTTCTTTTTAATTTTTGCTTATTCAAATTTTTATTCATAACAGATTTGCTAAGATTTTAATTTTCAAATTTGAAGCATAAATTTTTAAAATCACTCAAATAGGTAAAATATTCGGTTCTTCTTCAAATTTTATTGATAGTTGATAATGATTAAATTGTACCATAGTTGTTTTATAGCAATTATCTGGTTATAATTTAATACTACCACTTATGTTTGTTTATTTTATTTTAATTCAGCTTATTGGTTAATTTTGTCTTTTTTGCATCTCTTCATTTCAGATCACATCGTCCAACAGCTGCGCAACGTGAACTTGTTGCATCAATTTGTCGTTTTCATCGTAAAATTAAAGGTGCAGTAATTGATGTATGGTGGTTATATGATGATGGTGGCTTAACTCTTCTCATTCCACATCTATTAACACTACCAAAAAGTTACGTGGAGGTAAGTTAATTATCAAAAAGTTACTTAGAGACAAATTAATCATCATTTAGATAAAAACGAAATGATAATTTTAAATGTAAATTATCTTTTTTCTTTTGTTAAGAAAAAGTAAAAGTTTCCTCTATTATTTTTCTATGATATTCATAGGATATAATATTGTTTTATGTTTTTTATCTTTGTAATTTAGAATGCACGATTACGTATTTTCACGATTTCCACATCACCAACATTGATGGAACAGGAACAAAGAAGTATGGCAGCATTGTTAACAAAATTCCGGATCGATTTTTCTGATGTTTCCGTAATACCAGATATTGGTAGGAAGCCTACTGCTCAAACGTGAGTTATTCTGTTTAATTTTTCCATTTTTTACTTTTTCACCATAATTTTCGGAAATAATTATATTCAGTAATTTGCATTTTTTAATTTTCCTAATCGGTTTAATTTAATTATGCGCATTAATTTAAATTTTGAATTTAATTCCTTTCAAGATATTAATTTAATAATTTTTTCAACATTTTTTTATTGCAAATAAAAATAACAGAAGATGAATTGTAGGATTGAAATATTTTCCAAACTTATCAAACCGTTTATTTGTGATGATGACGTTGTTCTACCGGGTATGATTGCACGATCAGAGTTAGAAGCTCAACAAAATAGGACAAATCGACATTTGAGATGTTCCGAATTACTCCACGAATTATCTTCTAAATCTGACCTCATCGTTTTGTAAGTTTTTGACCGCAACCCGAAACTGATACTTTTTGTTGTTCATAATTTCAAAAAATACACAGTAACAATTAATTTTCTCTATTAAATTATTGATAACCTTATAGAAAATTAATTGGTGATCGTTTTTTTGCATATATTTGAGATGTACGTTTTTTAACGTACTTTTTTTTGACGTACGTTTTTTAAAAAAAGTTTTAATACTTAATTATTCCTTTCAGAACATTGCCGGTACCACGATTTGGTTTTGTGAGCAGTTGCTTATATATGGCATGGTTGGATATGATGACACGAGATCTACCACCAACATTGATGATACGCGGCAATCAGACATCTGTTCTCACATTTTACTCATAACTTACTGGGATATTTCAGCATTCATATCTTTATATATACTAAAATTTTTGATTTATCCTCACATTCTTAATTTTTGACTTAAAAAAATTTCTTTTTTTGTATATTCTAAAATTTCAACCCTTTAATTAATTGAAATTCACAAGAAATTACAATTTAATAATATCAATTCTTGTAAATATGAGAATTTATTTTGATTTTAGATTTACAAAAAAATTTTTATTTGTCATTAATTAGTTGAAGTTTTTAATTGATATCAAATTTTGTAAATTCGAATGATTTGAAATTTAAACTTTTCATCGTATTAACTGTAATATTAAAAATTTCAACAGAAAAAGAGGTTAAAAAGAAGATGAAGTTATGGAAATTTCTTATGAATGTAACCGTATAGATTATATGGTCCTTTGACCTGTTAATTTCATTGTTTAATTACATATTAACATTAGTGAACGAATAATTACTGTTGCCTTATTATTATTGAAAATAAAATTTGGATTTTGTCTTATTTTTCATTTCGGATCAAAGCAAGCTCATTGAAGTGATGACGATAAGAAGAATGAGAAAAGGCTTGTGAATGGAAGTATAATCGAAGTATAGGCCTAAATTTCATGTTCGTTACCTAGGTTTCGATCTGGCTACCCTTCGCCTTGCTTACATTCACGTGCTATATGTTTTTAAGCTCAATTTCAATGAATGGGATAATTTAATTAAAGCAAATTCACATTTTCGAAGTAAAACTTTTGCCGATAAAACTCTCGCAACCTATTATAAAAAAAACTGGCTATAAACATAATGGATTGCTCACATTAATAAACTTTCGTTGTAGGTACTGATATACCTGCGTCATAGGTAAATTATTTCTTCTGAAATCCAAATTTCTGGAACATATCCTCAACTAAATTTTATTTATTAAAATCAACCATCTATTTCCTACAAAAATCAGCGAAATATAATGAGAGAATAAAAAAAGAAAGCGCTTTTGTTTATAAAACTTGGCGCATTTTTTTGTTATTCAAATTTAATTAGAATAAAAATTTAATTAGCAAGGATAATGAGCAAAAATTGATTGTTGAAGATACTGAAAAATTAATCAAAAATTTCGTCACAAATTCACTACACCTTTCAGCTTACCTTGAATTAAACTATATTCGAGAATTAAGGAATCATATTTTGTTTAAGGTGATTGATAGACATTCTCTCTATTCATTTAGTAAAATGTTTGATGAATTATTCAAATTTATATCCCATTCATTTATGCAAATTTAATCATAAGTCAAATAGCAATTTTAACACTTCATATCCGAGTTTTGTGGGTCAGATTTAATAATTCATTAATGAAAGATAGCCGATTATTGTTCTTAGTAGAGAAGAATTAACATAGGACAATCATCCTGTTTCAGGACCTGTAATAAGATTCCTAAATATCAAAACGGAATGTTGAAAAGTAATGATGAACAAAAAATTAATTTAGTGAGTCTTGATCAGGTAATATGAAAGGAAAGTTTAACTTGATTTTATGACAAGAATTTTACGAGATTAATTTTTATAATTTAAGTCTCAGATAAGAATATCTCTTTATAGTCTAAAAGATAATCACAATTAATTAAATTCTATAATTTAAGTCTCGTATAAGATAGTATCTCTTGTAGTCCAAAAGATAATCTAATCTGAAAAGTTTATTATGAATGGTTATCGAGCAGAACTAAAATTATAAACTGGGAGAATAATAGAGCATAAAAAATATATGGATTGTCTAGGAGAAGTGTGAAATTGTATGAAAACCAGAAAGAATGATTTTGTAAATTTAAGTAATCAATTATTAAAGAATTATTTGATTACACACTTATAGACGTACATATGTTTTGATGTGGAACAATTGACAAATGCAAAACAGGAAGTGAAATTAAGACGCTGCAAAAATGTTAAGGATAATATTGTATGGCGTATGCGAACAAATGTACCCACTCGATATCTCATTAATCCATCCCGAGGTTTCATTGAAAATGATGAACCTATCACGGTAATTAAAATATTAATATACAATTGCTATCTTTCAGCATTTTTCTTGTAAAAGTTTTGACTAATTTTAAAACTTGAAATATTAAATGAACTATGAACTCAAATAATAATTACTAATCTCTTATTTGAATAAATGAATTATATTTCAAATACATATACTTTGTAGTTTAATTACCTCCTAAATGATAGGTGGTGATTGAGTGATACTAATTTCATCTAATTCTGAAAAAAAATTTTAAAATTAACCTAAAAAATTTTAGAGCTAATTTTTATAAAATTGCAGCTAACAATTGAATTGATAGAAAATAAATTTCATCCAAATCATAAATTAACACTTCAAGCGATAGCAATGATCGATGGATGTAATGAACGAACAATTTGGAAGCATCAAAATACTAAAAATTGCAATAACATACAAATGATACGATTGAAATTGAGTACAGTTTTGATGAATATCGAAATGTCCAAATATGAGGTTGTTCATTTTTATGATAAGTGAATCATTTTTTAGATGATTGTTAACCATATCAATGATAACAAATACCTATATTATCATATCATATCCCGCAATGCAAAAATTTAATCAAAGATTTATTTAAAGACAAGTAATAATTAATAGAAAGAAATTTTTATTACAATATTTTATTCCAGAATATTCCCAAAATTTATTTCGAAATTTTTTAAATTTTAACACAATTATCAAATATTAGTCTTAAATTTCATAATTATGATAATTCTTAAAATTTTCATAATTACTTGTAATTAAAAAGTTTTATTGATTAAACTTAGGAAGAAAATCTTACAATGGAAGAAGAAAATATGAAAAATGTTATTGAGCATATCACAACTACCGGATCAGGACGTATCATAGAATTAGAAAAAATGCTGCATAATTTGGAAGAGGATTTTGATAATGTTAAAAGAAATACTGAACGAACGAAACGTTTAAAAGTAATCTTAGAACAAGCATTAGATTCACGGTAATTAATTAAATTTAATATTACCGGAAAGTTTTTTGAAAAAAGAAATAAACAATTAACTGTATTAATCATTTTTGTGTCTAAGAGAATTTAGAAATAATCCTTAAATATATATTATTCATTTTATTAATTTATATATTCTAACTTCAAAAAACTTTCAATCTAAATTTACAGTAAATTAACTTTGATTGAATTAAAACGACGTTTAATGGAATGTGATCAGGAAACGAAAAAATTAAGGAAAGAACTTAAAGAGAAAGAGATGAAATTACGACTTGCACAACAAATACAAACGAATAATTTAACTCATCAAATATGTCGAATTATATGAAAAATATTTATTTCATTGCTTTACTTTCAACTATTGCTACATTTCAAAATTATGAATAAAATTAAATGAAATTTTCAAATCAAATTTCCTCCAGTATTAAAATTCAACTGCTATTCTGTTTATTATCAAATGGCGTTGTTATCGCATAATGTTGAAGATATGATAAAAAAGTAGCTTCACTAATAATTAAAATAATTATAATTAAAACTATTAAATAGTTTAATAATATTAATGTAATTAAATAATTAAAATAATTAATAATATTTAATAAAAACTATTGAGATGAATGAAATTAATATCCATTAAATGTTAGCGGAATTAAAGTGAATAATTTAGAATAATTTCTTTCAATTTATTTTCATTGAATTTTAAAAAATATTTGAAATGTGAAAAGTTGCTATATTTTTCAGAAATACTTTGATCAATAATAAACGTAACGTAGTGATGAATTATGTTGACAACATTAATCATTTGTTATTTATTTTGTTTCGAAATATTTTGCAATTGAGAGTGAAACATAGATCATAGGCAGCCAAATTAAAATTTTGCTAGAAACAGTAGGTTTGATAAACATATATGATATTGACGTGTTACACGTGTATGGTACACTTAAATGAGCGGATCTTCAACTTCCTCATCAATCGTTGGTTCATCGTTCGTCTCATAAAGCTTGCATTTATTCTCTTTAATCTTAACATGCAAATTTGAATATGCCATAACATTGAACGGTTTCTGATCGTCCATTTCATGGATTGATTTAATCTCTTCTGCTGCTTTTTCCATTTCCAATTTATTTTCCTTTAAATAAATGAATCTACTTTGTGATAGTGCTTTTTGAAATAATATTCAAAATTTTCAATTTCATTTATTGATCGATTAAGCTAACTCATCTGAGCAAATACCGGTAATAATTGAATAGAATAATGATGATAAATTAGGTTAACCCCTTAATATAGGATAATAAATTACGAATAAAGATAATAAGATTGTTAAACAAATAAGGATGACAAATATTTTCATATGGATAATATACCTTGCGAACTTCATCAATATTGCCCAGATTTTCAACTTTATTCATCGGTATGATATCTGCTCTTCTACAATTAAAACAATTTTAATTATCACTCAATCTTATTGTTTTGGAATTACAAAATTGAATAAGATTACTAATTTCAAATTAAAACTTAGAATAAAAATGATATTACTATCAATAACAATACATACTTTTTCTCTTAAACATTGCTAAAATTACAATTTCATTTCTTCAAATCAAAAATTTTCAATCACTCACTCTTCGTCACTTTTTTCAGATCCTTCTTCAGCTTGAGTTTGATCATCTCTTTTACGCTCATCTTTCTACAACATAAACAATTTTAGTATTCTAATTAAATTCCATCCTTTTTTCTTTTAACAATTAAACATTTCCTCTATCTAATCAATAAACTAAAAATTCATTTAAAATTCTAATCGAGATATTTTAGCCATTCCATTATATTTCCATGTAATCCTAAAAATATCATAAAATATGGAATGGCTCTGTTAGCTTAGCCTTATTATATTAGTATCAGTATAATTTTAGGTATACGATTTACATTTTAGCCTCTGATGTATTAATCTCTCTAACATATTTCCTATTACAAATCAAACGAATAATAAAATTCTTGAAGTAATAAAAAAATTGCATGCGCAAAATGATACTTTCTGAATAGTTTTCACAATTGCGCCACCTTTCGGTCCTTTTATTAAAATGTTTTTATTTTTTGCTCCTTCGTTTCGTTTTTTCATTTCTTTCTATAATACATTAAATAAAGTATTGTTTCTTTCTTTTCAAAAATATTTTCAACTGAAAAAATATTTTCAAAAAGGTTGCTAAGTTTAAGTTTAACTTACTCAATTGTCCTAAATTACTTCTTACCTTAATTTTGCTGTTGCTATTCATTTTGCGCTTCTTAATATTTCATTCTTAAGATAAAATATCATCTATCACTAACACTCTTTCGTAAATTTGTTTCCTTAGCCATTTGCGCAGTGTTATCAGCTGTATTCTTTCGTGCGTTTACTACCATATCAGTTTCATTAGCTGTTTTTGCATTAATTTTCTTCTTCTTCTTCTTCTTCTTCTTCTTCTTTACACAACATATTTGTATTGATGATATAATCATCAATACAAATAAACTTTGCGCCATTTTCAATATTATATATGATAATTCTAATAGAAATGATATGAATTTTAAAATACACTTTTTAAATTTCAAATAAAATTCATTACTTTTTCAAAATGAATTATTCTTCTTCTGAGAGAGCTTTTTGTAAATATGAAAATAAACAATAGTTGACAAAAGAAAAAGAAGAAAAGAAATCAGATATCACAGAACAGAACTTTTTCAAATACTTAAATTTACCTAACTGCTTAAGTAATGCATTAAAATTTAATTACTTCTACTAACCCATTTCACATTAATATTTCAAATGCTTAAATTTACCTTACTGTTTGAGTAATTCATACATTAAAATTCTGTTTGTGTAATTAACACATTTAAATTTAATCACATCTGCTACATTAACATTTCAAATATTTAGATTTACCTTACTGTTTGAGTAATTAATACATTAAAATTCTGTTTGAGTAATTAATACATTGAAATTCTGTTTGAGTAATTAATACATTAAAATTTAATCCCTTCTACAAATCCATTCCAAATTAACAAATTGATAATTCTTGTTTAATTTAAAATATCATACCCAAAAAATGATCGAAATATTGCAATTCAATTTGTAAAGCATTTGTTGACATTGTTCTATCGTTGATTTAATCCCTACTGCCGTAGCAATAACAAACAATAGTGGCTTTCAGAGGTAATCTTAAGAATTATGAAAGTTACAATACCAGATAATCACGTATCACTCTTATATATATATATATCATTCTATTTACGATAAAAAAAAATTGAATATGGAAATTTTTGAAATTTTTCAATTTCCAACGGATGTCCTTTGTGGGAGCATTTATTCCAAATATTCATTACAAATGTTAGTGAAACTATTTTAAACACTGTTAAACATTGCACATTTTATTTGGTTGTGCACATTTAAATTAGAAAATAATACATTTGAAATATTCAAACTCCATTATTGATTAGAAATATATATGTCCTTGATTTACTGCTATAATTATTGCGCTTAATTATTTAAACCTTATCATCTCATTAATTATTTTTAGTTGATAATTGATTAGATTAAAAATAATCAATTGATAATTAGTAAATAACTTCTATATTAGTATGACATGTATTTTCTAAAATATGACTTCAAATTTTCTTTATTATTATCATTATTATTAACTGCTGTAATCAAGAATCTATCTACAATCTAACACTTTTTCCTCTCCCTTTTATCTTACAATATATCGATAAAGATAATGTATATATCTGATACATGCTATCATATCATTATCATTATAATATAACAAATAAATCAAGTCAAAATAATTTCATAATATAAAAAAATACTTAAATTTGTATTGTTTATAGTTCTAGTAATATTTTTTATTAATTGTGAATTTTATTGTACGTATACGACAAACGAATGCCGTTAGTTATTTACATCCAATTGACCTCTTGTTTACTGTCTATTCTCTTGTGTTAAATATTCAGAAGATCCGTCTTTACTGATGATTGTAAGACCAATCTTGTATCAACTAACCTCATGACCTTTAATACAGTACTGCAAAATAATCAAATGATAATAAATTACTATAAGCAGTTTTTGCTTGATGAGCGACACGACTCCAAAGGAACGCTTTCATTCAGTGTAACTTATCACTACCTACTACCAAAAGAACCTTGCCATCTACATTTCCCTCTAAACCAATCAATACCTCACCGAAGAATCTACAAACCAAATTCCTGAATTAACGGTAAAGAAAATCAACCAAGTGATTGGTTCAGTTGACGATATTTTCGGATAATTGTACTATAATATTAAAAAGAAGGAATAAATCTTCCCATCAAAACAAGCCTTCATCACCACAAGCTTTCTTCAGTTGTGCCAATGCAAAACTTTCTATCAAACAATAATTGCTTTTGTTTTAAGTTTTATTACACCCTTCTATTTTAGTACAATTTGACATTTTCTAATTTATTATAACTTTTTTATAAATCATTTTGTATCATTTTGCGCTAATTCCCAATCATATGGCAAATTTTCTGATATATTTTTTGGTAATATTTTCTGCAAAATTAATAAAAATTTAATTTTATATTTCATTTCAAATAGTATATCTCTTTATATAAGAAAAATAAAAAGGTCAAAAACTTTTTTCTAAAAACTTTTAAACTTTTGAAATAATTTTGAACTATGCAAATGAGCAAACAATACGTCTGTTTATATTTTCTCTTCTCAATTTTGCTGGTACGATCAGCAAGTTCGTTAAATTTTTCTTTTAATACAACTTTAATTTTAAATTATTGAAGTAGTAGGTTATTTATTACTCACATTGAACACCGCTGTAAGAAATTGATAATCGGGAATTTGATGATAATGCAACTGTGATAAATGTTTCATTATTGCTTCCATTTCTTTTGGCACCAATCTTGAAAAATTTTTTTCAAAAAAAATTTCCATCAATTTTTAAATTATGCAAAAATGCAACTTTGATAGTGTAAAAATGCAACTTTGATAGGGTAAAAATGAAACTTTGATGGAAAGCTTATTAAATCAAACAAACGAAATTTATTATTAGGTTAAATTAAATCATTTCCTAAAAATGGTAAGCTTTTTATTCCCTTTCATATAATATTTCAATCTTTTTTTCACAACTTTACACAAAATAAAATTTAGTAAAATTTTTAAAAAAATTATAGAAAAAAAGTTTGTATAATGAAAAATAATGAAAAATTTTAGGAATTGCCAAATTATGATAACCTTCCAAATTCATCAAAAGTGACATTCTTCTTGTATTTTGCGATATCATTTGGTTCCACAAATGAACTCCATGGTAGAGTGCCTTGAATAAGTTCGATCAACGAATAAAACATACTCCAACAATCATCAACAGGACCCTAAAGATTATTATTTCAACCTATAAAGTTTATTTAGCATTGATTTTATAATTTAAAATTTCCAACAACATAGAATGAATTCGTTGAATTTGTTAATCGCAACAACTTCATTATCCTCAATAGATGATTTTAAAAACATTAGGTTTAAATTAAATAATTTTGCAAAAAAAAAAAAAATGAGATGAAAAAAATATTCAAAAAACATTGATTAATATGAAAACCGTATTAAAATATATAGTTCTTTATTGTCTTAATTAGTATTATCTTTTGAAGTTTTGCATTTAATGAAATGAAATAACCTGATCTCGCCTTTCGTGCACCGTAACAGGTACATATCGCATGGTACCTCGGAAACCAGCATAATATCGCTCTTTTCGCACCATGCCATCATCAAAACGATATTGCCGAGCCATACCAAAATCGACAATGTAAATTGTTCGTTTATTTGAATAAAGTCCGATGCAAATATTCGAAGGTTTCACATCTCTAAAAATTTCATAATTAACCAGTAGATCACAGCGACTTTAAACATATGACATTGATAGATAGATATCCTCTTATCTCATTGAATTTATTTATTAGATTGACCTAGTTGACTCTAACTAAAAAATAGTATTTATTGCTTAAGCCATTAATTAATTAGTTTCAATAAGTCTCTGAAATTTCAAACTCATCTAGCTTCAATACTATTGCAATTCTTATTTAACTATTAAACTTTTGTAAACTTATTTTATTGCAGTGAATATCAAACAAGGTAATTTGCTACATTGCACATTCATAATTAGATTTACTTTTGGAAGTAATTTTAAATTTCCTTTTGCTCTATTATAACCAGAAAATCGCTGTACCGATGTATATATCCAATATCATGTACAGCTTTCAATGCTGCTATCAATTGTAATGCCACCCGTGAAACTGTTGAAATACTTAAACGTCTTTTGGGTTGATATTTTCTTAATTCACTCAAATTTTTTCCCAATATTTGCATAGCAATGAAATTATAGCCACAGAAATTACCACTGGCATACTATAATAATATATTATAAAATTAATTTCAATTTTTTAATTAAAAAACACTGATCATTTATTTGTACTAAAATTTAAACAAAAATTTTTCAGTTTTTCACTGATTTTTCATTTAAAATTAAATACAATAAAATCAAATGTATTTTGTCACAAATACGAAATGTTGTAAATTTCAAATTACTCCAAAGCAATTAAATCTGTCACCAAGTTAAATTTCACATTAAACAAAAATTTTAAATTAAATAGAAAATATAATATCAACAAAAGAATGTAAGTATCAGAACAGTAATTTCCTGAATGATCAATCAAGAAATGCATTCTTTAATTAATTAAAAAAATAGAAAGAAAAATTTACAAATTGTGGTATATGTGGCGTTCCTCGAAGCTTTAGCAACACTTTTTGCTCGAGTATCATTCGTCCCGGTTCATGATCCTCCGGTTCAATTTTTATTGCCAATACCGATTTACTACGCTAAAAACTTAATTGATAATGCATAATAGCAAAACACAGTTTTTTCAAATTTCTACGGTAAAAAGTTTATGATCAAATTTTATGATAAAATTCAAGTTCATTTCATTATCCATTGATATATTTGCAACGATGTAACGAATTACCTCGAAAATGTTGAAATACTTCAGTAATTTTTTGATACAAATTACTATTCCTATCGTAATTTCCTTTAAATCCTATCCTATCCTTAAAATGAAATTCCAAAAAAATGAACTTACTTCATCAATGACACGATAAATCTGACCAAAGCCACCTCCACCGATCATTCCATCGATTCGAAATTTGCAATCAATTATTTGTCCCTCCTTGAAATATTGAGGAGCATGACGTCCATGTGGTTGATGTCGTTTACCATGCTTTAAATTAATTTTGCCATATTTTAAATTAACTAGTTTTTGAATTTTTTACGATTCAATTTTTATTAAAGTTTAATGATAGTATCATATATCCTTCAACAGAAGAATAAATAATGTGTTAAGAAAAAGAAATTTTAAATGGACTATTTAATTGAGCGAATTCTGATGCAACTGTTATAGATGAGTTATTAAAGATTTGATTAATTTTTTTGAAAGTAAGAAGTAAAACTGAATTTTACATCTTTTAATTAAAATCAGCATTTCCTGTCTTAATTGAATTAGTGTGCATATTGGAGAATGAAATAGTTTTTTAATTCTAAAATTTTCCTTTATTCTTCATTTCAATGTATTCATTCATTCCCTTGTTTCTGATCTAAATCGACCCTTTTATCTATTCCTAATTCAGATCGCTCTCTTTCCTCTACCTTATTCATGATCTAGACCGATCATTTTACCTATTCCCGATCCAAATTGCTTTCTTTTCTTTCACCATTCCTCATTCCAAATCAATTCAATGCCTTATTCTCTATTTTGATAGAACTTAAAAAACTATAAAATCATACAATAATAAAGATTTCAATGATTTTTCTCAAACATATTTGAATAATAATATTACGATGCAAACCATCTGCGAGCAAATGTTACCGCTTCTTCTTTTGGAATCACTTTAATATCGGCCATAATACCGTCCTTTTCACTATAACTATTTCTTTCTTCTTTTTTATTTGAATAATAACCAACCAAATATACTATTACCAGGGAATTAAACTAAACAAAGGAATTTTTAGCAATTTTCGACAGTTTTCAACAAAAGAATTTTCAACAGTTTCCAACAAAAGAATTTTCAACAGATTTCAACAAAAGAATTTTCAGCAGTTTTCAACAAGGTAAAACTAGATTATGCATTGTAACATTTTTTTTTTTTTGAATATATTGCTCATTAATCACAAATAGTTTTTTAAAGTTTTTAAAGAATAATTTTTTAAAGATAAAATTATTTTTAAATAATTAATTTTAATTATTAATTAATTTTCTAATTTTTAAAGAATAATTTTTTTAAAATTGAAATATAATTATTTGAAATCAATTTAATTCATTTAGCGGATTTAATACAACTAGAAAAGATTTACCTTGCTAAAATTAAGTCTATTCAAGCTAATATTCCATTGCAAGCTTATTATACTTCTGAAATTATGGAATTTCAAGGCTTTATAGTAAAAATTTTATTTACCTGAATAAATTTTAACTTAAATCTCATTAGTCTATCAGATAGTTTGAAAGTAAATAATACTTCAATAGTTTAGTAATTTAAATCTCAACAGTCTATCAGATTGTTTGAAGGTAAATAATACTTCAATAGTTTAGTCCTGCATTTACACTTTATTTCTATTTCTATCATACACTACTAATTTAGAATGTCATTTTAGCTGTAAATATCACAGACCGTTTGAAATATCCGACCACCAACCAGCACACAATATAAATAAAATATCTATTCGATTTAAATTTACAATTTATGCATTTCGAAGTTGGAAAAAATGCATTAGTGAATAAATATCAAATTTTAGTTAAATGTGTTTGGAAGAAAAATGGAAAAAAAGCGTTTTGTATTATTAACATATATTTAAAATAATATTTATGTCAGTGAGAATATCACATCTATTGCAATCATAAGACTTTTGTAGGATTCAGTTCGAAAAAGTTAGCAAAAATTGATTATCAGTTATTATTTAATTTTCATATCAATGAGAGGATATTGGAAGTGGATAAATTGCTTATCAGTTATTATTCAATTTTCATATTTGGAAGTGGACAAATTGCTTATCAGTTATTATTCGATTTTCATATTTGGAAGTGGATAAATTGCTTATCAGTTATTATTCAATTTTCATATTTGGAAGTGGACAAATTGCTTATCAGTTATTATTCAATTTTCATATTTGGAAGTGGACAAATTCCTTATCAGTTATTATTCAACTTATCAGTTATTATTCAATTTTCATATCATAAGAGGGTATTGGAAGTGAACAAACTTTTATTATGGTACATTATTGAATAAAAGATGGAATAAAATTTTCCCATTCTATTTTTCAGAAATGATATTTTACAAGTGATATTATATGCTATAATGATATGCAAGAATTAAAAAGAAAAATTATCATTGAGACAAGTTGATAAATTGGCTCAAAGAAAAATGAATTTAAAAAGAAACTTTTAATTTGAAAAACCAAATTTAATTTTATTAGAATTTGATTCAATAATGAATACACAATGAAATTTAGTCAATACAATACTTTTTGAGCAGTTTGTATTTCTCCTTAGTGAAAATCCATTTATTGTGATAATTGCTATTTTAATAAGGAAATATATGTGTCAAAGGTTAACCATATTTTCTCTTAATATATCCATTATCTATTTGATAAAGCATTTCCTTCTAATATATCTATTATCAATTTGATAAAGCATTTCCTTTTAATATATCCATTATCAACTTTTATGTTTGAGGTAATTTAAAATCTATTGATAAGCAGTTTTCAAAACAAATCCTAACCAAACAATATAGTTTAACAACATTGAATGATATTTTGATATAAGAAAAATAAACCATAGTTAAACTTTTAAAATTAGATCTTTTTAGCAATCGCTATATTAGAATGCATAATTTAAATTAAATTTTATTCCTATTATATCAGTTACAAACTTATTTTGATAAGATCTCTTCCGGTTTATTATTAAGCATAAATTAACTTTGTTAGTTCTTTATTATATGATTTATTATTACAGATAAATTATTTCAGATAAATCGTGAATTATTGAACATGGATGAGTTGGACAAGTGAGAGCTTTATTATAGCTTGGCAACGGTGGTACTTCATCATCGTTTAATGGCCTAGCATAGCATGAGCCTTGTGAATCACATCTGATCATATATGGTTTACTATAATCAATTGGTGCTGGAACATTAATCGCATTTACACCTGAAATATCACTAATCATTAAATTGCCTTAAATAATTTTAGCATAATTATAATTTTTAATTTTAAAATTTAAACCTTTAAAATCTTTCATATTTTCAACTTTAAGAGATTTATTTTGTTGAAATTTAATAATTTAAAAAAATATTTCTTTAAAACGGTTTTAATGTTTCATACTGTAGAGAGAGCGTTTCACGAACAACCACGAATTCCGCTGGTTCTGGTACCAATTTAGGCGCAATAGGTGCAACCAAATCGAGGGCTGTTTTCAGATGAAGCAAAATTTTTGCCTAATTATTTTTATGGGTTACAGGGCTGGGAGCAGGAGGAGAGAGATGTGTTTAGGCTTGGGGTTCAACTGGTGAAGAGAAGTGGAATCCAGATAAAAAAATATTTTTTAAAATTATTAAATTTCAACAAAATAAATCTCTTAAAGTTGAAAATGTAAAAGATTTTAAAGGTTGAAATTTTAAAATTAAAAATTATAATTATGCTAAAATAATATATTTAAGGCAATTTAATTTTCAATATTAATGCAATAATTATTTAAAAGAATATATAATAAAGATAAAAACAAATAAAATTAAAAAATAAATTTTCAAAAAAAAAATTATAAACTAATTTAAAAATAAATTACCGTTAAGACTATCATTTCCATTTTGATTAATAGCTCTTGAATGTGCGCAACAGGTACATGTAAATAGTAAACAAATACCACTAACTATGATACATAATGAGGCAAATTGACAAACCATTTGACAGTCTACTAAATTATAAACAAAAATATTCATATAAAGAAAAAAAAATATGAAATAGCTAATTCAAAAAATAATTAATTAATTTGGAGCAAAATAAATGTAACTATTTTTTAACAGAAGCAAATTTTTACGAAATTAAAAGGTATTTTTGTTCACACAAAATTATTGTGGCTACGATATCAATCTACGGTACATGTGGTAGTTGATGTCTGATAGTTACAGCGATTTGTGAGAAAGAATATGGTAGTGTTAGTTAGCCTTCATTCTTAAAGCTTCTAATGCTTTCTAATCATTACCATAAACCTTGTTAGAAATCATCAATTTCCACCTAATTTTTTTTCGGAAAAGAATATTCAAAATAAAAGTTTATCGTAAATTATCAATGATGAAATAAGAATGATAGATTACGAACAAAGCATATCTTTAAAATAAATTTAACAAAAAAGATTATCAGAAAGTGATTTAATAATTTTTTATTACAAGAGAATACTTACTTGCATTATGCCGATACACATAATTGTTTGTGGTACCAAAAATATTTGGATAAGTAATTTTCCGTTGTGCTAATTTCAAATGTCTCTGTAGTATCTCTTTGAAGATTTCACGGAATTGTTGCTCCGAAATATTTTGAATACCTTCTTTTGTAATATTGAAATAAAATTGATCATCAACTTTCGTAATTTCTTTATCGTTCAACGCATAGAATGGTTTACGATCAGCCATTGTTAAATTTAATTTAACTAATTCATGCTGAAAATTAATGAATTTTTTTTGAAACAAAAATAAAATTTAAATATGGAATTTTATTAAAATGATTTTTAGTTCTAAAGAAGAAATTCTGAATGTTTCTGAAATCTTTTCTGAATCTTTTCGTAAATAATATTTTCTTTCTTAAATTATAATTTTCTTAAATAATTAATTTAATTGATAAATAAACTCCTAAAATAAAAAATTGATCTAATTTTTATATTTCAATTTCAAACATAATTTTTAATTATCAAACTGTCAAATTATCAAATTGAATTATCAAATACTTTATTAAGAATTTTTCAATGCTTCATATTTTATCTTCAGTTGATTAACTTTTTCATTCATTTTGGAAAATTTGATTTTTATTTCAATTTAATTAATTTGTATTAAAAATTCGAGATACACATTGTTTAATTTTTCAAATTTAATATTTTTAGGCAAACTAAATTTTTTATAATTATTTTTTTCCTTATGTTTGGTAATTCTTCATTTCTATGATTTACTTGAAGTTAACAGTAGAATATAATGGTTGATCTTAAAAATTTATTTTACCATTTCAACAATCTACTCAGAAAAAATCAATAGTAGGATTTACATCATCTGTTAGATGAGCATGATCATCATTGGCGACCGTTTCAATTTTCACCGTTGTTGATTGCTGTTGTTGAAGTGGATGCTTAGATTCAACAATATCAATTAATTGAACATAATCCAAAGAATGATTATGATTATTCCAATTGGTAAGTGAAGCAAATTCACTAGGTATTAGTGAAAAAAAGAATATTATCAGTGAAGAAATAGTAAACATAGGAAATGTGAAATTATTTTGATAAAAGATTATATACGTAAATATTTTAGGAAATGAAACATTGAAGTAAAATTGATAATATATCTTTTTATTCTCGTCTGAAATTCAAATGGTATTAATTTTGATAATGAAGTAAAATTGATAATATATCTTTTTAGTTTCGCCAATGGTATAGTTTAAAAACTAAATAGTTTGCTCAAAATTAAATCCTAGTTCTGTCTGAAATTGAAATTGCATTGATTAAAAATTAAATCCCTACAAATGATAGAATGTTATTTTAATAAAGACAAGATTGCAAATAAAATATTTTAAAGTTTAAAAGAAAGTAGAAAATTATCGTAAGAAGAAAACGGATGAAGAAATATTTGCTTACAGTTAAACAGTTAAAAAATTTCATGTAATAAATACATCAAATTATTTTTGAATCGTTTAAATTGAAAGAAAAATAAATGAGAAGAAAAAAGCGCCGCCGAATTGCAAATAATTTTATTAAAAAATAAGAAATTGAAATATTGAAAATATGAAAAATGTTGTAATCGATCATTAATGAATTGAAGAAATGTTCCTAAATAGATTCATTAATTAATGATGAAAAATTTCAGCGAAGAATTAAAAATTGAAATATTTCATTTTGTGATATTAATTTTTCAAGAAATGATACGAGTTGTATAAAATGAAATGAAAAAAGGTTAAATATTAAAAAATTTGTTGAATAAATTTTATTCGACGATAATTAATATAAAAGTAAATGAGATAATTTAATTTTGTTGCTATATTTAATATTACCATCAATTATTCACCATTTTTTACCATTTAAAATCATTAACAAATTACCGTCAATCTTCTTCAATTAACAATAAAAACAATACTATCGAAATTCTCCGAGCAATCAACAACAACAACATACAATAACACTGTTCAACTTTCATCAATCAATCAACAACAATTATTATTATTTACTTTGTTCGAACTATATCACTATCAATCGTCTTATATTTAATAATTTTAAAATGAACATTATGTTTCAGAATGTACGAAGTGTGAAAAAGAATATGTGTCAAATTTAGCGAGTTCAATGTACCTGCTTGTACCTTTTCATATAATTCTAATTTTTCATCTTTTTATCGTTTGAATTATTAGCTCATAAAAAGTGATCTCTTTACCTGTCTATTAGAAATAGATATTAATATAAGGTATCAGAAAATACCATTTTTATTGTCATTGATAATCATCTATTATAAATAATAATTCTCTTATCATTCTCATTTTTCATCTTTTTCATTTTCTTATTCCTACAATATTAATGAGAATATCTTTCCATTCACTTATTCCCACAGCATTAAAAAATATATTTGAATGAATAAATCTTAAAGCTAACTATTAAAATTTCATATAAATTATTTTTTGCATTTAATTTATTCTTTGGATAAGTTATTTTATTTATTCAACGTGTACTATTAGTCATTGAATAAAGAATATATGATTATGTGAAAAGAAAACTTTAAATTTGTTTCAATTTAATTAATTGTAAATAAATGCCAAAATAAAATTGAGTGTCAACAAAAGAATTATTCATTTTTTAAATATATTTTTCGAAAGGTTAAAAAAAGACGAAAAAACAATTGATATTAGTAAGAAATGATGTGATACGATATCATGGCAAAATTAATGATCAATTACAATAATTTGAATTATAATAAATAAATATATGAATAATAAATTTGTAATAAATAAATATATGACTAATAAATTTGAAATAAGTAAACATATGACTAACAAATTTGAAAAAAATAAACATATGACTAATAAATTTGTAATAAATAAACATATGACTAATAAATTTGGAAAAAATAAACATATGACCAATAAATTTGAAATAAAAAAAATATATGGAAATAAATAAGCATATGATTAATAAATTTGAAATAAATAAACATATGATTAATAAGTGATTCATAATTGATTAGAAAATTATAATGTAAATATTTCATTTTGTCTTCTAATTTCAATATTCTTGTTGAAGTTTATCAGAGAAAAGAAACGGAAAGAAATGAACGAAGCGATTAATTCTTTAATTAGTGAAAATCGATAATTTTACCTGACAGATTTTTCAAATCTAATAGAAATATTTGTAAAACATTATAAAATGAATATTGACAATCCGCAAAAGAGAAAAAGAAAAGTTCAAGAAAAAGTTATTTGGCAAAATAAAAAAGTTTCCAAATTTAGTTGTAATAATTTAAAGTTAAAAATTAATTTCCATAATTAATACAAAGGCATTAATTAATGAATTAAAATGAGAAAGAATAGTTGTAATAATTTAAAGTTAAAAATTAATTGCCATAAAATAATTACAAAGGCATTAATTATTGAATTAAAACAAGAAAGCAATTAGTAAAACTCTTTTTGTTACTTTTATATAAATAAGCCATCTGATAAAATTTTCAAAATATATAAAACTTTCTCGATATTTTTAAAGTTTGAAAAAAATATCAAAAAGTTTTAAATAATTTTGATAAAATGAAAAATGAGAAAAAAAGAATGAAAATAAATTATTGATAATAATTTATTGTCATATCACAAAATTACACAGTTATTATGAAAGTTATTGATAAGATCGCATTCAAAATAATGAAAATTAAAATGTACAATGATTTAAGGCCATCTTCTTGTTTTAAATTTGATTTAGAAATTAATAATTGCAATAATATTAAATAATAATAAAAATATAATAGTAACAAATGGTAATAATAACAGCAATAATAATAATGAATAATGATAATAATAATAATTAAAAATAATCATCAATAATAATAACAATGATAAATATGACTAATAAATTTGAAATAAATAAACATATGATTAATAAGTGACTCATAATTGATTACAAATTATAATACATATATTTCATTTAAAAAAGAAGCAAATTTATTTAAATGAGAATATCAAAGAGATCTTTTTCTTTTCGACATTCTCGTCGTGATAAATTAATATAAACAAGAATAATTAATAGCAATTAGCTATAACAACAATTAATAATAATAATTTTTTAAGTGTCATTTTTTTCTTTTTTATCAAACACTATCATTATTTTCTCTTTTCACATCGTTTTCCATTGATTGGTGATTAGTGATGAGCAGAGCAAAAAATTATTATCACACATGTATATTATTATTAGTGATAACAAGATTAAACAATATGCTTATATCTCTTATCAAATTATCACATAATAATAAACGATAAAAATAATTAGTTTCACTTTTTAAAATTTGCTTTTCTTTTTGAGAAGAAAATGAAATAATTGAAGATATGAATAATGAAGTAGAACAAATTAAAAACTTTAAAAATTATCAGCAATAAAATTAAATATTAAAATTATTAATTAATACAAGGTTACTAAAATTATTGTTTAAAAAATTAAAGAACTGCAAAAATTAGCAATAAGTTTTATAATATTGTATAGTGAGGTTTTGCACTTAATTCTGATCATCAATTAATTTACTGCATAGGTCACTGATCTGATCGATCTTATCTGCTATTCGGAAAGATCACTGAAATATGAACAGTGTTATTAATGGCTTAATTTATTACGATGTTTATCAAAAATTATTAAATCTGAAGGTAATCATAATTTCAATATGGATCAATAATGTTAATATAGTCAACATGAAATTCTACAATTATGTGATTTAGATTTAAATAATTTCAAATTCGTGCAAGTAACTAAATAAGAGAGATGAAGCGGAAAAGTATTAATTACGAGTTGACTAACAAATTTCAATTTCAATTTGTCAGAGATATATTAAGACCGAAGATATAAGAATTACAAAGATAGCGAAGAAAAATTGTTGAAAATTTGCTTGTAACAAATTTACTTAAATATATTACTTATCTAAAAAGTCCTTAAGATCGAGCAATTTATTTAAACAAACGAATTCCGTTTGAATTTTGTGAATTATTTTAGATGCAATAAATAAAAATAATTCTTCAGCCGAAAATTTAACATAGCAATTGGAAGGTATTGTTGCAAGCTCCTAAATTTAGATATATGTTAATAAATAAACAAATAACTAAAGAAAATATAAACAAGTAATTATCAGTTATTGTTCAATAAAAAAAGTGATAAGCAAAATTGTTTGTGGCAAAGATTAATTATTCAACAAGG